ATACCTTCCGTTTCCATTCCATATCCGTTCCGTATTTTTTATTGTGTTGACGCTATACGTAAGCTTCCTGTCCGTATCAGTTCCATACTTTTTATTGTACCGGGTGGCCAACTAAGAATGGACGCCGGCTGTATCTCAGAAACTACTTATCGTATAACTTCGGGAAAAAAATTCTAATAAGTAAATCGACCAAAATAAATCGCTGGAAATTATTTTCAAGTTCGAAAAATGTCCGCTAGAGGGCGTTTTTCTGATAACCACTCAGAAAACAGGGTTTTTCTCAAAAAATATGCAAGTGTATATAAGTATATATAAGATATTTTGGAAATTTTGTGTTCTATTTAACTGTGCAAAAAGAAATATAGCCTCCTATTTAAATTTTTAATGCAAAAGCGCAATATCTGTTATGATGTCAAAGAGCGCCCTCTAGGTATCACGAAAAAAATTATGGAAACAAAATTTATACCGAAGATCATTAAGGAAGAAAAGCTCTTTTAAACGAGCCCTAGTTTGTTTAAATCGGCTAACCTAAACCAGAGTTATCCTTATTTTAATAAAAGCAAGTTTAACCTTCACCCACCACTTTATTTTATGAGTTAGAGCAAAACAGTCTATATAAAAAAAAATACAAATTTCTCGATGATTATAATAGTAATGTTTAAAATACCTGTTCACCTGCATATTTTTGAGAAAAACCCTGTTTTCTGATTGGCTATCAGAGAAACGCCCCCTAGCGGACATTTTTCGAACTCGAAACTAATTTCCAGCGATTTCTCTTGGTCGATTTGTTTATTAGATTTTTTTCCCCAAAGTTATACGATAAATAGTTTCTGAGATACAGCCGGCGTCCATTCTTAGTTCACCACATACGACACGGAGTATTGTAACTAAACGATTAGATTATTACAAATTGCATGTTTTGGGTTCGTTGAAGGACTATTAGAGCTACAATTTAAAAATATTTTTACAAGATACAGAGTGTCCCAAATAAGTAAAAAATATTATAGTTGTATTTTTTTAAATAGAAAACCCTGTATATTATTCTATTTTTAGATTCTACGATTGAAATAAAGGTAAATTTGATTAAGGTTTATCACACTTAAACCTTACCGTTTTTGAAATATTTTCAATTTTATGAAATCGCAGTAAAAAATTTAAGGCTTTATTTCTCCAAGGGTATCAAAGTTTTTAATACTAAATATTTACTGAAGATTATTTATTGATCAGATATTGTGTTGCAATAATAAAAATTTTACTACCTTATACAGAGTGTCCAAAAATTTATATTAAATAATTGCTAGCTTTAAACGGCAATAACTTGTTTAATTTAAATAGAACACCCTATATATTTTACGTGAATCAGATGCACAATGTAATTAATTGTCTATCAAATTGTATTATTCCATTTTTTACCCACCTCTTCAAGTTTTCATAGAAAATGCATTTTCTTATAATTTAGACCTCATTTATCGCTATACCCATGGAATATTGACATTTTAGCTTATTTTTAAAGATATAACAAATTTTCAAAGGGTACAGATACTAATATTGTCGATATATCTAGTTCGCTTATTTAATTAAAAAATAAAAAAAAACTCTTTAAATATTTTTTGTTAAAGAGGACCAATTAATATGATCCCAGTATTCAAACTACATTATTTGACTGTTTACGTTGTAGTAATAATTCCTCCAAATACTAAAAAACTGAGTTTTGTGTGTGTATTAGACAGTGTGGTAAAAAGCAACACCTTATAGATTTTACTTCATTTATTAACGAATGCTTATTTATAAAAACACAGACATTCATTTTTATAACTTATTATTATATTGATTTCTGAGCCAAATCCACATTTATTTAGAATAATTTTTTAATTAAAACAATTTATAAGTATGTAATTAACTAATTTTTGGTGTTTTTGGTAGGAAATAATGATGGTATATTTAATTGGTATACTCTTTTATAAATATTTAAATAGTTTATTTTGTATGCCAATGGGCTTGCAATATTTACCACCTGTACATTTTGTACATATGTATATTGCTTTAAAAAAATCTAAAATGTCAATATTCCATGGGTATAGTGATAAATGTATTAATACTAATTATAAAAAAATGCATTTTCTACGAAAACTTGAAGAGATGGGTAAAAAATGGTATAATAAAATTTGATAGACAATTACATTGTCCATCTGATTTACGTAAAATATATAGGGTGTTCCATTTAAATTAAACAAGTTATTGCCGTTTAAAGCTAGTAATTATTTAATATAAATTTTTGGACACTCTGTATAAGGTAGTAAAATTTTTATTATTGCAACACAATATCTGATCAATAAATAATCTTCAGTAAATATTTGCTATTAAAAACTTTGATACCATGGGAGAAATAAAGCCTTAACATTTTTACTGCAATTTCATAAACTTGAAAATATTTCAAAAACGGTAAGGTTTAAGTGTGATAAACCTTAATCAAATTTACCTTTATTTCAATCGTAGAATCCAAAAATAGAATAATATACAGGGTGTTCCATTTAAAAAAATATAACTATAATATTTTTTACTTATTTGGGACACTCTGTATCTTGTAAAAATATTTTTAAATTGTAGCTCTAATTGACCTTCAACGAACCCACAACTTACAATTTGTGAAAATCTAATCGTTTAGCTACAATACTCCGTGTCGTATGTGGTGAACAACCCTGTATAGTTACGAAAGTTTTATTTTAAAAATTTGTATCTTTTGAAAAAGGTAATAGATTTTTTAGCAGGTATTTAATTAAGAGGTGAAATAATAAATAAATATCAACAAAATGTTCACAGAGCTGGTACAAAATGTAAAAACTTGACAACGCTGTTTCCGATACGCATCAGTCCGTCCGCCAAAAAAATGTATGGAAGGAAAGGATATGGAACGGAAGGGAAACGAAACGGATAGTGTGCATTGTTCTATTCGTTTACATGATATAATATTTTATGTAAACGGAAGGGAAACGGAAGGTATAGTGAGAATCAACCTTTACGTGGAAAAATATTGAAAAAATAAAACTGATTGGGTATTTTTTAAAACTTTGTATAAGTAATGTTGACTAAAATATTTATGGCACGCCCATGAATTGCCGGTTAACAGAGCTACATACAGGGTCAGTTTGAAAACTTCTTACTGTTAAAAACAAATGTATCTTTTCTATCGGACTATGAAGAGTTTTAGAGATTGATAACTAATTATTTGCGTTATTTCTTAGTGAATCACCCTATACCTCAAAAAGATCGAGGAATAACTTAACGTCAAAACAATCAAAATATTCCACCCTTATTATTAATATTCTTAGGCTTTTCTACACCCTTTTGACTCGGCAGATCCTTTGGCATGCCACTCTTAAAAAATGAAATTTCTCAAAAGCGCCTTCTGCGATAAATATTTAAACACTCTTTTTGATATTTCGCACGAAAAGGTACGTAAGCTCTTTTCAGGAAGCCCCTTTTCATCATATCTAGTTTTGCTGTAGTATTTTATGGATAATTCAACGTGAAGATTTATTGAAATAACAAAAAATTTACAGTGCGCGAAAAGAGTGCTCATGAGTGCTCTTCCAATTGTTGACAATTTTTGTTTCGTATTTAAACTCCAAGGTTGTTATTTTTCTTCAATTTTTATTCTGTCAAAATTGTTCTTTCCGTTGTTGGAGAGACCATACCGCGTATGTCTCAAAAGTTGCTCACCCCTATAACATTTTTATTTTTTCAGATAAAAAAACGAGATTTGGTATTTTAGTATGTGACATAAATTAGGATTGATTGACGTATTTAATTGTTTTTGATCACTTCCTGTTTAACCTGAAATGACTACAACTTGATTTTTAAGTGTCACTCTGAGTATATTTTTACTTATTTCCATGGTACAAAAAAAAACAAGGTATGATCGATAGCGGCTCCAATTTCGTTAAGTTTGCGCATACCACCTGTGACGTCATACGCCATACAGAAAAATATCCATATTGTCCACTTGCCACTAATAAAAAAAACCTAAAATAGGGAAGAATTAGGACATAACCCAAAAAGTTATGTCAAATCATCGAGCTTGACATTTGAAAAATTATTTTCACATTTATTGTGTCATCTGTTTGACAATTTGAAATTGGCGCGCGGAACTTGCCGACCAACGGTGGCGTTTATCACCTGTGACGTAGTGACCAACCTGCGCAATATCATACCTTGTATTCTTTGTATCATGACTTATTTCGATAGAACATGACACTCTGAATAAAATGACATATGATATGTCAACTTTTGACATTTTCGCATATGGCGTATTTGAAATTGTAGCATGCAGTTCATAACGACAATTTAAGTCGAAATTCCAAGTGTGCAGTACCAAATTATGCGTAAAAAATGCTTTTTCCAAATATGCCATTTGCTAATAAGCCACCCTTGTTCTATTTGAAAAAATTGAGATATGGTTAAAAATACGATTTGGGCATCCTTTAACCGACCAGGACCAGACATGAAAAAGATTAGACAATCAAAACTATTTTTCCCAGGCTCCTTGATTAAAAATTAGTGTTTTAACACAGACATGACACTCTAGATTGAAATGTACAATACGATTTTTTTAAGCGAAACAAAGTTGACATGATATATCGTTCTATTCAGAGTGTCATTTTCTATCGAATAAAGTGGAAATATACCGAGGGTGCCATTTAAAAATCAAAAATTGTAGTAATTTCTGGTAAAACAGGAAGTGCCGAAAACAGTTGAATACGTCAATCAATCTTAATTTATGACATACCAACATACCAAATCTCGTTTTTTATCTAAAAAAATAAAAAAGTTATAGAAGTGAATCACTTTTGAGACGCACCTGGTATATGATGTTGAATAAGAAGAATGGCATAAGCTAGCGAATAAAAATGTACTGGTATACTGATCTATATTTAATCCAAAATATAGTCTCACTGATTTAACCATTTTAACAACTAAAATATTAATTTTTATCTTTTCAGTACTGCTGGTGTAAAAGGTAGCATCAAAATTAACGACAGGGCAAGGGACATGCATTTTTTTAAGAAAATGTCAGCCTACATCATGCAGGAGGATATAGTCCAGCCCAGACTGACCATTCGTGAAGCCATGATGTTTGCTGCTCGCCTAAAACTTGGTCCCGAAATCGGGGAATCAGAGAAATTCTCAGTTGTAAGTAGGATTGCCAGAGCGCAAAAAAAACCGCAACGCTCAAAAAGTACTCCTTAATCTTTTTAGTCTAAGGTGTGAACAAAATTCAAAAAAAGGTATCATTTCTCAACAGTAATCTAAAAACGAAGATTTTTGACACCATCTGTCATCTGCCATGGCTAATTTATTATCTGTTAGTTACTCACATGCCTTCTTCTTACTGTGCCTTGTCAGGTCCCCCTGACGTTGGCAATCACGATGGGGAGCTGATCCCTGTGTTCAGCCCTTTAAATAAAAAGATTAAAGAAGGAGCATAATAGCAATTAACTTAGGTCAACCGCGATGGGACTCAAATATGGCCGACTTAAATTCCGGTTTATCAGTGCCGTTCTAATTTTATTTAAAAAGTGTAAAACTATGATGTAGTGTAGACGTGGGGTAGACTCAATAATTTGTTATAAAAATATATAATTCTAATAAAAATAGATAAGTTATAATAATTATTTATTAACACAAACATCCGATACGCTACTGAAGCAAGTAAGTCAAATTAGCGTATCTAAATTCTTTGACATCTAATCTTTGACAAGCAGTAAATAAAAGCAAAAATGCAAGAAAAAACATATAATTAGTTAATTTTAAGTGAATTTCATAAATGATCGGTTTACTACAAGTATGTATATTATATAGTCACTTACTAGCGAAAAGTTATTCCATTATTTCACTCGATTTTTGACCGAAATCTACCGCACGCTACACAACCGACTATTTTACAATCTTTTTTGATAAATCGCAATAGTGTCACTGATAATTTAAGTTCTGCCACAATTTCCATTCTAGATTTACTACCTTTATCAGTACCTAATAGAATAAATAATAAATAACATAAAATAAGCTTTGTAAAGACTGACAAATCCACAAAATTTCAAATCAAATTCAAATGTGTCAAATGAATTGTCAGAACTGTCAAGGATCCCCACCCTAGAGTCCTTTTTCCGTCCATCATGCATGAATACATGGATAGCATATAGCATTACACTCTTTCCTTAATCTTTTATTCAAAGCTCACATGCCTATTATATCAGAAATAGCATTATTGTAATTAGTAGTGGGAACTATCGAATGAATACTATCGAAACATTCGATAGTTGCAATTCATTCGAATAATTCGATAGTTAGTAAGAAAACATTCGTTGAAAACTATTCGAATAAAAATTATCGAATAGATCCGTCATCTGCCTTGAAATATTGTATTCTAGTAATTCGGCAGCAAAAACCATTCATTTATAAAATTCATTCATTTATGAAATTCATTTATTCGTCAGGATCGATTATAATAAAATATTAACTGAATTTTAGTTGTCGCACGGCGACGTAGGTTTTTTCGAGAAACCCGACAGCGGTCGGTGGCAATGCTATGAAAGAAGCCGGCATCTTTGATTTTTTTGCGGAGTCAGATATAGATAAGGACACATCATTTTTTATTGAGGTGCTAGTATTTATACAGAAAATACATTATGAAGGGCGCTGTTGCCATATTTTGGTATCAGTTGATATTAGCAAAGAATATTATTGTTTGACTTTAGTTAGTTAGGGATAGTATGTCTATATATTCCGCATTTTATTAATATTCTGTTGTTACACTACAATAATACTTGTTATTTCGGATGTAGGAAAATGATTTTTAATGTTTTTAAGCAAAGACTGGTTTAATAAATAATAATAACAGTAATAATTTGTTATACCTATTAACAACAAAATTTAAAATCGTTTAATATAAATATTTTTTTAAGTAGTAGCAAAATATAAACAACAAATTAGATGTGAAAATTATTTATATTAGATCCTATTTAAAAATAATATAGTCTCTAAATTTTTTGGGGGGCAACGTTGGTTTATTAAATAATAATAATAATTACAGAACTAATTTGTTATATTAACAACAAATTTTAAAATCATGAAATATAAACATTTATTAATTTTCTAAGCATACAATGTAATGGAAGAAAAATATAAATAAAAATTAGAAATCAAAATTATTTATATTAAGTGCTTTATATTACTGTTGAAAAATTATATTTACTTTTACTGTCATTTACTTTAAAAATAAATGAAATATTTCTTCGCAAAAACTACATGTAAGAGAATTAGCATAAACAAAATACAAACATCGATAACTTTTTTTTTTTTAAATTGGCACGTGTAAAACTTTCATTTTAATTTTCTCACCCCATAGTTTGAGTTCAATAACCATTTACTTAACCACATTACTTAAATATGATTATTAAGTTCAACTAATTCATATTATTAAAACATCTAAAATACAAATATGTATTTTTAAAATTAATTGTAAGTTCATCTCATCTCTCTTAAAAATTGTTACTTCTCAAAATTTCCCATTAAAAAATAGACCATATATCATATAAAATTAAATAATTGAAAGATCGGACTACGGAAAACCACACAAATTGTCGGAAAAATTTTGAACACCTGCACATGCACACAATCGTCAATAAATAAAATTAAAAAATAACTACTATTTTAGTATTTTAACTATTTTAATAAACGCAAAAATAGCACAGTATTTATACGGCGAAGTTATAAAAATTTGGAAGAACTAATAATGCACTGACGCATACAAAAATCAAACGAATACTAAATTTCATTTATCAAAAGCATTCGATAGTCGTGGCTCAACGATAACCATTTTGTCGCACAGCGAGGTTGTCACATATGCTTTAGTATACAAATGAATGAATGATTTTATTCGAATAAAACCATTCGATAGTTGAAATCATTCATTCATTAAACATTCGATAGTCTAATTCATTCGATAGTTCCCATCGCTAATTGTAATGAAAAAATAAGTAACAATATAAATATTTTTTCAAACTATTTCAATAATCAATCTTATCACACGCTATAATGAAAATATCAATTAATGGAATATTAATAAATAGGTTAGTAAGCCAAATATGCAAGACATAAATAAGCATTGTAGACAAATTCATAAAAACGGTCAAGATCGACTCACACTTGCACAATGATAAATAGATAAATTGACCTACATAATTATCAAGTAACTATTAAGTACAGTGTCAAATACTTATCATGTTGGGATAGGTTCGGGCCTCTGCGCTGGTCCGTAATTATACAAAACTCTCTGTTAATTTATAATTATCAATATATTTTTTTATTTATATTTAGGTGGAGGAAGTCATCAAACTTCTTGGTCTGGAAAAGGCCATGGAAACTAGAAGCGAGTACCTTTCTGGAGGACAAAGGAAACGTTTGGCCGTGGCTCTGGAATTGGTCAACAATCCTCCTGTCATATTCCTGGATGAGCCCACAACGTAAGTTTCTTCTTGATCAAGTAAAACACCTTTTTTGGCCAATTAAAACATTCAAAGTATCTAACTACCGTATGATCCTTTGAATAAGAAGACTAAGGAAGGAGCATATCAAAAATCTTAGGTACACCGTGATGGGCCTCAAATATGGCCGACTTAAATTCCGGTTTATCAGTGTCGTTCCAATTTTATTTAAAAAATGTAAAACTATGATGTAGGGTAGACGTGGGGTAGACTCAATAATTTGTTGTTTTATTTTACGTTGTAAATAAATGTTGGTAGTTATTAAAATTGTTATAAAAATATATAATTCTAATAAAAATAGATAAGTTATAATAAGTATTTATTAACACAAACATCCGATACGCTACTGAAGCAGGTAAGTCAAATTAACGTATCTAAATTCTTTTGACATCTAATCGTTGACAAGTAATAAATAAAGCTAAAATGCAAGAAAAATATATAATTTAGTTAATTTAAGTGAATTTCATAAATGATCGGTTTACTACACGTATGTATATTATATAGTCACTTACTAGCGAAAAGTTGTTCCATTATTTCACTCAATTTTTGCCGAGATCTACCGCACGCTACACAACCAACTATTTTAGAGTCTTTTCGATAAATCGCGATAGTGTCACTGTTAATTTAAGTTCTGCCACAAGTTCCATCTAGATTTACTACCTTTATACAACTATCAGTAGTAGAATAAATAATAAATAACATAAAATAAGCTCCGTAAAGACTGACAAATCCACAAAATTTCAAATCAAATTCAAATGTGTCAAATGAATCGTCAAACAGAACTGTCAAGGATCCCCACCCTAGAGTGCTTTTTCCGCCCCCCATGCATGAATACATGGATAGCATTATGCTCCTTCCTTAGTCTTCTTATTCAAAGGTATGATCGAAAAAAAAACGGCGTCAGCAATGGCTATGAAATGAAGAACGCTGTCGTTATATATGTATGTAAAACTAGCGTGTACCCGCGACTTCGTTCGCGTCGAATTGATCATTTGTAATGGTGATGATAAAGCAAAGCAAGAATTTCCATTAACATACAAACTGGATAAAAAAATTTAACATTTATGTCAGCATGAGAAAAAACAATATAGCGATATTATTATATAATTTGGTAATATTTGAGGGGTAGTTTCATCTCGTTGGAATTTGTCTTTCGAAAAATCCGTTTGCCAAAAATAAGCTTTTTACGTCAAGCAATTTAAGCAGAATCGTGGTTAATCAATTACCCAACTTTTTGAAACACCCTGTATGATTTTTTTAAAATTTTCAAAATATGTAAAAAAACAAAATAAATTATGCGTGTCCAAGCGTTTTCCCGAAAGACTACCCGTTTTTTAAATAACAAATATTGTAATATTTGAGGGGCGTTTTCACCCTCTTGGAATTTGAGATTCGAGAAACCCGTCCTTATCGAACCTCTACACCCCACAGTCAATCCGTTTGTCAAAAATCAGCTTTAAACGTCAAGCAGTTTAAGCAGAATCGTGATTACTCGATGGTCATATTTTATGAAACACCCTGTACAATTTTTTAAAAAATCTTAAAATATGTAAAAATAATAAAATAAACTATTATATTTATTTTCAATCTGTTTTCCAAAAATCAGCTTTTTATGTCAAGAGCTTTAAGGAGGATCGTGATTAGTCAATTACCAGATTTTTCGTAACACCCTGTATACATTTTTAAAAAATCTTATACGTGTTTAAGCATTTTTTCGGAAACTTGGCCGTTTTTTAAATAAAAAATATTGTAATATTTGAGGGGTTGTTTCACCCCTTGGAACTGGAATTTCGAAAAATCCCTTCTTATCAAACCTCTACACCCTAGAATCAACCCGTATGCCAAAATTGATCTTCTTACGTTGAGTGCAGGATCGTGATTAATCAGTGAGTCAGTCACTAAAGGATTTTATATATTAGTATAGATTATATTATGGGGAATGTCATCGATGTTCATTTCCAAGTCAACTGGACACCGTTTTTTTTTCATATCACCATACGGTATCTTCGAATAAAAATATTAAGGAAGGAGCATATCAAAAAATTTAATATAACTAAAAAATGTCTATACCTCTGTTTTAACTAAAAAATGTCTATACCTCGGTTCTTGTGGTTTTACCACATTAATTAATTGTTATCAGGTAGTAGTTGTTAATTTTGAAGTTTAACTTGTTATAATATCATTTTAACAGAACGTCAACGGTTTTTATAGACGTGTCTGTTGAAAAAAAGACAAAAAGTGTTCTTGAATAGTTGTATTTAGACATTTTAAAGAGTTTTTTTCTTTATCCTGTTTTTTGGCTTACGACGCATTATTCTTCTATAGTCTAACTTCTCTGAACAAAACCAATTATAAAATAAATGATAAATAGCATAAAAGTTCAGAGAAGCTCAAATAATTCACGAAATGTCAAATCAAATTCAAATATGTCAAAGAAAAGTCAAACCGAACTGTCAAGGATGGGGTTCATGGTTCATGATTATGTCGATTCGGCATAGATAAAGGAAATAAATTCAGATTGGAAAGCCCGTGAAAACATTTTTGGGTCGCGACCGTTTTACGCGATCTGGCGCTGCCTAGCGGTTGCCAAGAACAACCGCAAACAATAACAAAGATAATTTTCTCTTATCAAAGTCAGACTCTTCAAAAATATAAAATATCTTTCAAAATTTAAACCGCCCTTTTTGAAAAAATACCGGAAATTGTTTAAAGCATCCATTCTCAAAGTAACCATTGCTATCTTGTAAGTTTAATTTAAATTTTACTTACTTAAACCCGTGATAATTGTGAAACAGTGGCATTAAAAACTAAAAAACTGTGTTGTGAACTGTGAACTGCAAAAACCATCGTGGATCGTGGCATAACGTCGGTTTCCAATGTTTCATAGGTATTTCACATACGTGTCCTTATATAAAATAAAGTTTCTTGTATGCAACACACTGTATTTTACTTATAAAATTAAAAGAAAATAATAATAAATTTGAATAAATAATATTTGGCGACATTATTCCGGAAAAACCCGAACCGATCCGAAATTATCAAAAGCTTTGGGTCGCGATCGTTGCAAGAATAGCGCCAAATAGTATTTACATTGTCCTTATGGACACTTTCCAATCTAAACTTGTTTCATTTATCATATACATGGATATACTCAATCCTGAATCTTTTTATTCAACGCATGCAATTTTATTATCAATTGTACTGAATGTCTCGTTTTGTATCCTAGAGGATTAGACAACGTCGCTATCAAGCAATGCATAGAACTCCTAGAGAAAATTACGAAAATTGGCAGGACAGTGATTTGTACCATTCATCAGCCACCTGCATCCTTGTTTCAAAACTTCGACCAGGTAAATAAATGTTTCAGACACAGATTGCGAGATAATAATCAATTTTTTCTATGGGATTACAAAACTGAAGAATTTTTGATTCTATTTAAATATTCTCAAAATCTATACAGGGTGAGTATTAAATAAGTGCAAATATGTTTAGAGGTAGTATATTTCGACTCCAGAAACACTATTGTGAGGATTTTTTCGCCAAAAAATTGGAATTAAAATAACTCGGTTATTTTGTACTTATTTGAAAAATGGTAAAGAGAAAATACGTTCCTTTTATCGAGATCTACCAGCACTGAAAATATTTGCACTTATTTAAGACTCGCCCTGTATTGTGTATGTTATATTTTTAACATTTTGAAATATTTTCCTACAGGTATATGTACTAGCCAACGGCTACTGTGTATTTAATGGATCTCCATCATGTTTGGTTCCATTTCTGTCAAAAGCAAATTTCCACTGTCCATCAACATACACTCCTGCAGATTACAGTAATTATATTTATTTGTAGTTTTTCATTTATTATTTATCGAACTAAAATAATAATATCTTACACGAACATAGACGGTATTTTATATACAAGGGGTTCACTTATATTTTAGCCAACAGCTATCTACGTAAATATTACTTTAAAAGAAACGTGCAGCTTAAAATTTTGATCTATTTTAAAGTTTTATATATTTTGTTCTAGTTAGTCGATTTTGGAGATTTTTTAAGCAATTTAGAGCTAAGTTATTTGACTTTTTAGTATCTCTTTCTAAATTAAAAATGAAGGTTTTCATTTGTCAATTATACAAGGTAAAATAAAATGTTGGTGAAAGTTTGAAACAGCCTGTGGAATATGTTAACAAAGCAAAGAATTTAAAAATAAATTTGTCATCTAGGTACGTCTTTTCTCAATATTTTGCTTTTTGATTCATCTCAATAGCTTTATTTTTATTACAGATATTCGCTTTTGAATAAGACAGTCACGATTTACAGCAACTTTAGCATTGATTTTTGGTCCTCATCAACATACTTATAAAATAGTGTTTACTGTTTTTATAATGTCACTGTCATATTATTATTGTTTATTGATGTTTGGTTTGGTTTGGTTATGAAATATCGGCTAATGCTGAAATATCGGCTATTCCTGCTTTAATTATTGATCATGGTAGAGATCAACTTTTGGATTTAAAACCATATCAGCTGAAGTAACTGCCCCAAAGACAATAATAATATCATTTTTCAAAGATATACGTAGTAACATTACATAAATCATAAAAACTATTTTATAGGGCTGTTGACCAGGACCAAAAAGCAAAAGGATGGTTTTAACGTAAAAAACACGAAAAAATGTTAAGTGTCTTCTTCAAAAGAAAACATCTCCAAAAAAAAATAAAACTATTGAGATAAATGAAAACACAAACTATTGAAAAAAGGTACATTTAGATGACAAAATTATTTTTAAATTATTTGCTTTGGTAACATATTCCACAGGGTGTTTCAAACGTTCACCAAAATATCAACATTTTGTTTTCCCTCGTATAATTGACAGATGGCAACTTTTACTTTTTATCTAGAAAGAGTTACTAAAAAGTCAAATAACTTAGCTACAAATTGCTTAAAAAATCATCAAAATCGGTCTTCTAGAACACCATATATAAAATTTTAAAATACATGAAAATTTTAAGGTGCCCGTTTTTCGTGCCGGTGTGTTATAAACAAAATTATAATTTCTACTGTTCGATAAGATATCGTATATTTAAATTTTCTCATACGAATTAATTATAACGAATGTATATTTTATAAGAAAAATTTCGAATATTTCTAAATTTTTCCATTACGAGACGGAATAACCGACATTAAAATCAAATTACAAGCGCTAAAATAATCAAATTCGAATCTCGTTTATGAAAAATTAGTGATGGTTTATGTTATTTATTTTAATTATTGAATATCATAATGGCAAAATACCTTAAAGGTTTTTATTGACTGTAATTAAAAATAATGCGTACAAGAGTAATTTTATATTTGTTTTAAAATAATTAAATAAATTTATGCTATAACCTGAATATATTATATTCTTATCACGTAATGAAAAGTATTTTTAATCAAAATATTTTGACGTTATTAAATGGATAGAATTGTTTTTTAGATACTTAAAATGCGATTTTAAATAAATAATTTTAATCTTTATTGCACAAGCTATTTTCAATCAAATGTTTTCTATATCAGATTAATACAAAATATTAGGGCAATGACCAGACCACATTTTAAAAATAAATTCATACAGTATGTCCGCGGATTAATCGTCTTTACGAGAGCAGAAACTTTTGATTAACTGTTTGAGAAAATTGTATTTTTTATAAAAGTTTTTGCTTGTTTTCAAATGGTAATTAATTTCCCTACCCTTTCATTAAGAACTATTTATATGAAAATACAGTTCAAAATTTATGAATATCAAAACGCGCTTCTATGGTAGAATGTAGAATGTAGAATGTAGAATGAGTAAGAGGGGGGGGTTAATCACTGCGACCTTAAAGATCTATTGTGTGTGCCCCCCTTCCTTGAGTCATCACACAATCCATAACCCATCATACCCCTGTTGTAGAGGGGACAGGGTATTTCCCATCCTCCTCTGACAACAGTTCTTCCTCCGAGGGTACACACCCTTCCTCGATTGGAGTTTGGCCCTCCGTGCCGCTCTTCACAGTCGAGAAGCTTGCCTCCAGCTGAGGAACCCGTGAGGTGGAGGCTGGAGGTAGTGATGTTGGTAGCGAATATTTCCATTCGAAATGTGCAGGAAATTTCCGAAATATTCGGTCCCAAAATCGCGAATATTCGCAAAAATCCGAATTTTGCATAAATTTCTTTTCAAAATTCAAGACATTGAGCGAACATTTAACGAAAGTATATCAAGTATGCCTATTCTTGCCTTACAAAAGCCTCTTCTCCGCCTTACAAAATAGAAAACGTATGGCTCTTAAAATAATGCATTTTGCCGCGAATCTCTTGGCCCCCTCTGTTTCCTGGGAGAGCACCTTAACAATGAAGAACACATAGCAGCTATGGAATTTATCAACAATATCACCAATAAACATCCTCAGTTTGTCAATAATAAAGAAGCCATTTTTGCAGATGTAACAAATTATTGCGCCAAATCGGGTTTATGGGCTCTCAACTACGTGTGGATGTCAGTTAAAAATGTAGACTGTCTAAGTTGGTGGCAAGCAATATGTAAAAATACTCAGTTGAAATATTTACCTGTTGCTCTGCTGTCTTTACCAACGTCATCTCCAGCCACTGAGAGAAGTTTCAGTACTTACAGTTTTATCCATACTAAAAAAGGAATCGCTTAACTGCAAAAAGAGACGCCAAAATAATGTTCGTAGCGCATAACAATAAATTATTACTACAAAAACAAAAAGTGAATATGGAACATGATATGCAACAACATGAAACTCCTCCAGAACCCCTAGAACCCGTAGAGGCAGAGGTCCATCCTACAGAATCAGAACCAGATGATACATCAAATTACCTGATTTGGAAATAAAAACTGACGAAGACACTACTACTACTACTACTACTACTATAATACCCTATGAAGATGGGACCAGCTCGGCGCCTGAAAGTATTCCGGAATAGAATAATTCAGTTATTTGTGTTTTACGTTTTTTAAATTTATATTTCGTGCTTTTTTGTTTTTTTTTTAAGTTCATAGTCATAGTTCATGATTTATGTACAAAGTACAAATGTTACCAAATAATTTTTGTTATATGTTATGTTTATGACTTTTAGGAGTTATGTATTGTTTATTAAAAATATAACTAATATTATGTTCATTGTTTTTTTTTCCACTTACATGTTGGTATCAAATGTCTATCTAATTTATTCATTGTATCAACACAAAATATGTAAAATTGTAAAATTTCCGAGAGTTTCTGAAAGTTTCGGAAATTTCCTGCAACAATCAAAAGTTTCGGAAATATTAACATCACTAGCTGGAGGATCTGTCTCCATTTTCTCCACCTCTTTAACTTGGTCTCTCCTTAGACCTGATACCGGTGTTGTCCCGTATCTATAATAGAAGATGTGTCCCTCTTTCTCTATTGCCTCCTTGGATTAGAGGTCAATTCCTATTGTGAGGACCTGACCATGACCCTCCTCCCTCGAGTTGATGACTCGCCACTCTATGGTAAAATCAATTCGTTTTCATTATTACCTACTATCCTTGTTTATAAAGGTTATTATTAATCCACGAGACAGTGATTTTTTACTTTTCATGATATTTTGCACTATGAAACCCCATCATCAATGGCGAAAAAATCGTTAGATTTAAATGAAATTTGGTATAAACGGGATTAACCATTTTAGAACAAGCACAAATGAATGCATTTTTCTCAAAATTTCAATAATAAAAAACAAGGTGACTCAATAATAATTTTGATGATTATTATTTATAGCATTTTTTTTTATTTGTTGTGTTAGTCGTAATATATTTGAATTTCTTCGACAATATTATATTATTTTTGCAGTTATAGAAATAATTCAGTCAAATACAGAAACCATCAGCCAGTTAAGTGGAGGAATACAAAATGGCAAAACAAACCTTTTAGAAGCTAGAAACAAGGAACCAGTGATGAGATCGAAGAGTATAGACATGTACGAGATTTACCAAGATACCACTCCACCAAGTGAGCCATTTCAATTTTTATTTTTTCTCCATCAGACGTCATTAATGACAACCAATGTCAATCATAGATAAAGTAAATAAATTTAGATTGGAAAGCCCGTAAAAATATATAATTGTTTTGGGTCGCGACCGTTGTACGCGATCTGGCGCTGCTATAGCGGTTGCTAAGAACAACCGCAAAAAATAACAGAAATAATTTTCTCTTGTCAAAGTGAGAATCTTCAAAAATTATAAAATCTTTCAAAATTTAAACCGCCCTCATTGAAAAAATACCGAAAAGTGTTTAAAGCGTCCATTCTCAAAGTAATTATTGCTATTTTGTGACAATTATTATTGCTTGTGTTTTAATTTAAATTTTACTTACTCAAACCCGTGATAATTGTGAAAAGAAAAACTAAAAAACTATGTTGTGAACTGTGAACTGCAAAAACCATCGTGTATCGTGGCATAACGTCGGTTTCCAGGTATTTTCTTTTCCTTATATGAAATAAAGTTTTTTGTATGCAACACACTGTATTTTATTTATAAAATTAAAAGAAAATAATAATAAATTTGAATAAATAATATTTGACGACATAACTCCGGAAAAATCCGAACCACTCCGAAATTATCAAAAGCTTTGGGTCGCGACCGTTGCAAGAATAGCGCCAAATAGTGTTTATATTGTCCTTATAGGCACTTTCCAATCTAAACTTTTTTCATTTATCTATGATGTCAATACACTATAAAATTTATAATGAATTGAAATTCGTTTTATTTTTACTTACTTAAGATTTTAACATAAGTTATTTTACAGTTTCTTCAAATCAGGATGGGGTATTCCCTGTTTCAATATGGGGTCAGCTGGTCATTTTACTCAGCAGGACCTTTCTGCAAATGAAGCGAAACCACAGTTTGCTCTACATCCAGTTCATCCATCATTTAGCATCAGGGCTATTAGTAGGAGGCATTTTTGTGGGCCTAGGAAATGACGGAACACAGGGATTGGCCCTTTTCAAGTACATCCTCAGCGTGAATGTCTTCTTCATGTATACCTACGTAATGGTTCCTGTATTAATGTGTAAGTTTTTGGCTGAGATTCGTATAATCAAAACTACAGTTCATACCAAATAAACTTTTAGTCACGTGATTAAGCTTGACCGGCACAGCGTTGCCCACTTTTACATATTTTCTTTTAATTAAAATATTTTAGGAAACAAAAATAAATTAATTATAAATATATAACAATTATTATTTACATCATCAAAACTCACCTTCTTAACAGCACTTAAGGGACCTAAAGGGCCATTACTACCGCATTCCTGTTCAAAATATTCTAATAATGCGAGTTTTTGCATTGGCTATTAAGCTATCTTGTATACTTCTCACTAAAAGAGGTTTTAGAAAGAACAGTGTTCGACCGCAAGGTCTGCTAGTAGACATTTTTAATCTTTAAAGTATCACAACACTATTTATTTAAACCTAAAACTCCTAATACAAAACTAAAGTGTCAAAACGAATGACAATGTCAGGAAATAAATATAAATAAATGCGGCAGCTTGACATTTTTTATAGCAGGGCTACCACCTGAATCCCCAGCGCGAAATTTAAATTCCAGTTAGTCAGCACGGCGCCGAATATGTCCATGGTTGGCAACAATGAATTTAAAAATCGCGCCCTCAATTACGTAACTAAAAGTTTAATTGATATGAAATATATGTATAACTACAATATTTTTTATCTGTAATTTTTTAATCGTTTATAGTTCCTTTAGAAGTAAAGATGATGAAGAGAGAATACTTCAACAGATGGTATAGCCTTAAAGCATACTATTTGGCATTCACTATATCAGCTTTACCCTTAATGGTAAAAAATCAACTGAGAAAACTGCAGCAGTAATAACAATATTAAGGAAACATTTTCTTTCAGATTCTTCTAAGTATTATGTTTATCATGATAGTTTACGTCTTATCAAACCAACCTATGGACTTGGAACGATTTGCATGGTTCACGGCTATGGGTCTATCCATAGGTTTATGCTCGCAAGGGCTAGGTTTCGTGATAGGATCTACCTTTAGTATAACTGTAAGTATAGGAAAATATTCATAAATATTATGCAGTGCATACAGAGAGAATAGCTAGAAGAGATTTTTTTGGTAATTTTAATTCACAGGAAATTGTATTTTTATATTTATATTTATCTTTGTATGACAAATGTGATGCAACTGGATAATTTTTATTTTCTTTTAGAATGGTTCTGTCGTTGGTTCCTCAGCTTTAGCACCCTTATTAGCCCTGGCATGTTATGGAATGGGTTACAGGGCAGCCATAGAACCCTTCATGAAGATCATGATAAGTATTAGCTACCTCAGATTTGGGGTTGTTGGATTTTCTCTCACGCTATTCAAGAACAGGGAACCTTTAGACTGTGACGAAATGTACTGTCACTACAGAAATACAGACGTAAGTTTAACTAGTTTCATTTCCGCTGAATGAAACGACTACCCAAGCAGCATTTGGACGTCGGGACAACGTTATGTCACGCGACCAAACGTCGGGGCGCAACGTCGGCACAACCTCGTGCCAGCCCTAGTCTGCACTAGTTTGGAGAATAATTTTTGGGTCGAAACGACGTTGGATACCGACGTTGGCTAGAAGCCTAATTTAGTACAAACTGCAACGTTGTTTAAAATCCTAATTCACAGAAATACAAAACTAATATGGCGTCTAAGTCGCGTTTTATCCTAAATTGGGATAATTATAGTAAAAATATTATTTTTATGATTTAGTTAGAGACATATGTCAGATGGCAGTGAAGGAAAACAAAACAAAAGTATTTAAGTGTGGAGGATGTTTGAAGATCATAATTATTGAAACACTTTAACCGACTCTGTAACTCGTTACCCAAGGCAAAAAAGTTAAACGCAAACAACTTTATTGATAAATATATTGTTTCTACTTTGAAAAATACTAATGGGCCTTAAAATTAAAGAAGTTTTAAAAAAATTTCTTGAATTTTTTTTTAGTAAAATGAGAATAATTTATTCGCAGTCGAAAAAATTGTTACCGCGTTTTTTTTTAGAGTCAAATATTTCAAGTTAATGTATCCAAAAAGCAGGAATTGCTACTTTAGGAACAAAATATTTTCTTATTTAACAACATGGCGGCTTTCACTTTGTTGTTTTGGAGATTAAGATGGAGTAGTTCGAGTCAGTGCCTTCTAATAAAAGATCAGCCTACGGGCGGACTTTTGTTTACTTCATCAGCTGTACATACTTAGATATTGGGTTAGATTCCGTTTCATATTTTGTCGGTTGATTTTTTGGTTTTAACGTGGTTTTAACTCTTTGATTTTTGGTATTATTTATTATTGTAGTGCAAAAAACTAATTATTTTGGTGTTGAAGTGACATAAACTACTACCAGATATATGGTCACTCTCGGTTTCGCATAAAAAAATAGAAATTTTAAAAATTACACGTTGTGCAAGTGATTTAACCTAAAAGTGCCCATACATTTTTTACTTATCGTGATTTTTGTGTGTGTTTTTTATGACTCTAACAATTCATCAATAAAGCTTAAGTGGAGTGTGTTATTGGTGCTATGCCTCATCTTTGTTGTGTTCCTGGTGGAAAGGATAGTTACTAAGGATAGTTATTATACTAGGCAGCCTAAAGTGTCCGGAAGAGCAAGAAAAGTGGGTACGAGTTATAAATCAAGAGAATTTTATTGAAAATATCTTTAATAAATTTAAAAATAATATTCTCCCATGATGGTATTAATGAAAACTGGACAATTATGTTTATTTTATTCATATTGTGGAATCTCCACTCCAAGTGTTGCTGGTTCAGCTTCGATAGATTCAAACACGTAGGTAGGTATTATGATCTAGGGAAAAATAAAGAATATGTGTATTAGAGATCATGAAAAAGATTATTATTTTGAGTTCAAATTTAAAAAAGATTTTTGTAAAGACAAGACTGATACAGTTTAAAAAAAGAAGAATGTGTTTTTGTTTGATAATATATAATGTATGTTAAGCATAACATATATTTGTTCAGTAATTTTAATGAATAGTATTGATTATTTATAATACCAAATTAATATCAAATATTTAAGTGATGGCTGAATACAATATGAATAAAATAACAATAAAATTGGTATATTTGCATAATACAAAATTAAGTTTTAAGAATAAAGGTGTTACTAAAAATACTAAGAAATTCATATTTCTTTGTTTTAATTGGTCTAATGTTATTTACATTTTACGTAAGAATTATACCGTATCATCGAAAAAAATCGGCGTCTAGTTGGCTTGGAAATAAACATCGATGACATTCCCTAAATAACTGTACACATAAAATAATTAACTAGAATTTTACAATCTTGGAAAATTTGATATTCTTGAACCTTGATTCTAAATATTCTAAATTTTTTGATTTTCTTGGAATTTAGGTTTCAGGAAAAACGCTGATTGATTTTCATTTGGTTTTTCATTATTTTTATTTGGTTTAAAAAAAACGGTTCAGCTAACATTATAGCCTCCATCAGTGTTGTGTCATATGAAAAAATAGTGTCGAATATAATCCAAAAATTGCATATAAAATATTCACACCACGCACATAATGTTTACTGCATACTCCATAGTCAATGTAGATAATTTTAGTGTTAAGAATAATAATTTTAAAAAATATATATGTGGTCATCTTTTGATAAGTTTATATTAGTTTATTAATTGCAGTAAACATTATGAGGTGTGAATTATATTGTATATGTAATTTTTTGGATTATATTCGACACTATTTTTCTCATATGACACAACACTGTGAAGGCTATAGTTAGCCGAAACGTTTTTTTTTAAACCAAATAAAAATAATGAAACCCCAAATGAAAACTTAATCAGCGTTTTTCCCGAACCTAAAAATCCCAAGAAAATCAAAAATTTTAGAATAATTTAACATATAAAATGCCAGCGATCTTCATTTCATAGCCATCGCTGACGCTTTTTTTAGATAATATTGTATTATTTGTAAATATAATTTTTCGAACATTGATACTTGCAAAATATACATATAAATTTTGTGAATGCAAATAATAATACATCACTATTAGTAGATATTAAATGTTTTTGTTAAATTAGATCGATTTTCAAACCCCAAAATTTAAAATATATTTACATTTTACCCATTATCTTATGTACCTATACATTATTTGTACATTGTAAAACATTTGCTGCATTTGTATGGTTCATAGTTTATTTGTCAAAGTATTTATTACTATAAATAGGTATATATGTTGTAGTTATTAACTGTATATTATGTATATTTCATTTAAACTATATCATTTTTAAAATACAAACCAAAAATCTGAGGAAATGTTTTCCATGTATTCTACAACATATTTATTAATCCGTTATATCTAACTAGCGTGACGTCATAAATCTCGCCCGTAGGCTGATCTTTTAATAGAAGGCACTGTTCGAGTAGTCGCATACTGGACTAATAAAATCGCAGTTCGGCCTTAACAGGTAGTATACTAGTCGCAAGATTGCCTAATTTAGTAATCCTAGAGTCTAGCTTGTGCCGCCCTCTATAATCTAAATAAACGAGGGAGTGGATAAACTATCGGTAATATATGTCGATGTATATTTAAATTTAGTTTTATATGTACCTTTCTTATGTCCCATTTTAATTAAGTTTTTTATAAAACAAAACAGCACTGAACTCTCTGACTGAACAGAACAATGAAGTGAAAATTTAAGATTTAAGGTTATGGTTCAATACAGTTGCAAAAAGGTAGTGACTCGACGTCCTACCAACGTAAGAATAAGGAAATCTAAACAACGTTGGAATTAGTAAAACAGACAACGTTTGCATAACGTTGGAATAGGTCCTGAAACTGACGTTGGAAAGCTCTATATTGTCCAACGTTGTAACCATGTTGTAACTACGTTGTCCGAATCACCTAAAGATCACTTAAGCAAAAAAGGTTACAATACAACGTTTATTCGGCGTCGCAGAAGCTTCTACTTTGCTGTAGTACTAGTCCAACGTCGGCACAACGTTATAAAAACGTTTAAATTTATTTTAATACCCAAGGTAGGGAGCTAACTATTTTTTGTAACTAATCCAACGTTGTGTTTAGTAAACATGTGGTCGCAAGTCGTGAAAATGCTACTTGGAAAGGAGGCAGTGTACATATTTATAATCATACATTAAACCAGGGACGTGCGGAACAAGTTTTTTAAATAATAATTTATGGCAATTAATATGAATTTACTTAGGTTTATAGTGCATTATACTATATGATCTCGAATGTCTGTCTGTATACAGGATGTTTAAAAAACTCACTCGTGGGGAGATTCCTCACGTAAAAATAAGATTTATTTTTCATATCAACATAGATCCGATTGTGCTTTGTTTCGTAGCTACAGGGTGTTAAAGTCTTAATAATCTTTCGATTTATTATAATTTTCTTCAAAGAACTTTTAGTGATTCCAATGAAATTTTGAGGCTAAAAGTTACTATAAGTTTTTAAAGATACTATTTCTCTATCAAGAGAAAAAAAGTCAGTGGCATACATGCTTTTTTTAGAAAAAAATTCTAGTAACAACGCATATGCACATCCCTGGTGAATATGTCGCCACTTTTTTAGCTTTAAAATATGTCTCATTCATAATAACTTTTACCCTCAAAATTTCATTGGAAATGCTAAAAGTACATGGAGGAATCTTATAAAAAATCGAAAAAATATTAAGTATTTAACACCCTGTAGCTTCGAGACAAAGCAGAATAGGACCTATGTTGATATGAAAAATAAATCTTATTTTTACGTAGAGAATCTCCCCACGAGAGATGGCACATGTTTTTTTTTAAACACCCTGTATAGGTATACAAAAATGTTTTTTGTTTACCCTTCTAAACATTTCTCACGACACGCCACTGCATTAAATTACAGCTTCGACAATTAAACTACATTTAAAAATTATTTTTTCACGAGTTTTTTTATCAATTTGATTTGGCAATTATTTGTAGCTTATGATCGTTCTAGCACTAAAAATATTTTTCCAGTTCAACTTCAATGAGTAAGTCATTCTAAGACTGATTTTCATACTTACTGTTTTTTTGCAGCTACTGTTAAAAGACATGGGAATGGAGACTGCCAGTTCCCAAATTCAGCTCTACGCCATTTTGGCCTACACGATATTCTTCAGAATTCTCGCCTATTGCACCCTCAAATACCAGCTGACGTCAGAACTGAGGAACAAAATCGTCTATTTGGCGACAAAAATCGTCAGACAGAAAGAATGAAAAATTTTTGTACCTCCCAGGGACCCGATCAATCGAAAGTATACGAAGAAAGTATTGTTTGCACTTTCTTGCCATCAGATACAAAAACATTCATCGAATATAGGGATGTGTAAATATGTATATTGATATTGTCGGTGGTCCGAATAGTATTCGGGAAACTTCGGCAGTATATTCTTCAGATAAAAATACATAAAAAAGCTTGGTTAAATGTATGTCTTAATATGCTTCATTTCGGAGATACAGGGTGTAGAAGAATAATTTCAAAAGAGGCCATTTTTACGTAAAAAAACGGCGGAAATGTATATTTTTTCACTCAGTAGTTTTATACAGGTACGGACGAGAAGTTATTACTCTTCAAACCAGTTAAAGAACATGTATGTAGCGTCTCCTGCAAGTAGGAGGCATATCGACATCAAAATCGAATTTCTCATATCAAAAAACTCCAAGACACTAATTTTCATCTAAATATTTATGTTAGTTCAATTAAAAAATTATTTGAAAAACAAAAGAAATAAAAATTAAACTTCTACTACGGAAATACACACTGTATTTCCGAACTTTTTTACTTATTTTTATCTGCAGAATATGATGTCGAAGTTTCTCGACTATAATTCGGACCACCCTGTATATTAAAGGATATCGATATATGTATATTACTTATAACGATATTTTTTATCCTACAAAAATTATTTTTGTTATACAAGGTGTTTCTGAATTGTTTTACTGAGTGTTTCTTGAAGTTGTTTTTCAAGAATTTTTTAGGTAAAGTCATTGTATAGTTTATATAAACATTTGTCGTAAAATACTTAATTTTCGAGATACAATGTGTCAAAGTTTTAAGAACAAATTTTAGCAATTTTGCCGTACATTAAAATGTTCTTATTTTTTGGTGCAAAAACCGTTCGTCTGACAGAATAACCAAGAAACATAACTTGTTCTAAACGAGGATTCTAAAAATAATTTCTTTTTAAGAAAAATCGTGCCGTGCTTTTTTTTCTTCAACGCCACTGGAGAAAATTTGAGAAAATATTTATCAACAAAAAATGCCCCTTAATTAAATATAATAATACCTGGATATGAAAAAGCATGTTTTTTTCTTAAAACTTTGACACCTTGTATCTCGAAAACGAAGCATTTGAAGACATATTTGAAATTCATATAAAATAAACTTTTACTCACATGATTAAGCTTGACTGGCACAGCGTTGTCCACTAAGTACGTATTTTCTTTTAATCAAAATATTTTAGGAAACAAAAATAAATTAATTAAAAATATATTATATTATTATATAACAGTTATTATTTACATCAACAAAACTCACCTTCTTAACAGCACTTAGGGGACATAAATGGCCATTACTACCGCTCTCCCGCTTAAAATATTCTAATAAACCTGCGATGAGTTTTTTCACGGCTATTGAGCTATATTTTGTACACTTTGCACTAAAAGAGGTTCTAAAAAGAACAATGTTCAGCTGCAAGTTCTGCTACTAAACTTTTTTAAGCTTGGAGTATCACAACACAATTATTCATTTAAACCAAAAACTCGTAAACAAAACTAAAGTGTCAAAACAAATGACTGTCAGGAAATAAATAAATAAATGTGGCAACTTGACATTTTTTCAGCAGAGCTACCACCTGAATCCCTAGCGGGAAATTTAATTTCCAGTTAGTCAGTCAGCCACCGAATAGGTCCATGGTTGGCAACAATGAATTTAAAAATTGCGCTCTCGATTACGTAACTAAAAGTTTAATAGGTATGAAATTTATTTGCTTATATAAACTTTTTATCTTGAAAAATCATGCTGTGAAATATCAGACAATTCTTCAGAAACACCTTGAATATTATTTCCAACCTATTGTTCAACATCCATCCCTTCTCTAGGAGATAGTTTCCCGAATTATGCCCCAAAGTATCTTTAATTTATTGTTGTAGAAAATTAGAATTTGTACACTAGACGCGTGATAATTATTGTTACAAATAAAATTTGTATATAAAAAGTATATTTATTTGATTACCTATTTTTTTCAGGGCTTGTTTGAATAACAGGATAATTTGAAAAGTTTTCTACATAATCTCCTACAATGATCAACCCGTCCAAATAGTAGTCGGCTAAATTGTCTTCTTGTAATGCATTTTTTTATCTAAAATCTAACACAATCTCTCAAATTATTTAAATCCAACTACAAAATACTAAATTACTTTGTGTATTTGATTGCGTATACTATCTTGTGCCATTTTAAAGTAACTTTTTTAATTTTATTGATCAAACACAAGCTCGCTAGTTCTACAAAGCAAGGAAAATACGAGAAACTTGTTTCTTGAATGAAGTTAGATGCTGTTGCTAGTTTAAAAAGACCTATGGCTAATCAAACTAAAAGGTTTCAAACAAAAAAAAAAGTTTAAATCCTTTATTTTCTAAATTAATTACACTTTAGATCAAGTCATAGCATGAAGTCAAAGAGAGAGAAGTCAATATACCTATTTGCAGTCGTTTTTATTCTCACACTTTCATATTGTGTTGATTTTAATTGTAAATTCTATTCACTAGATAAGAAATTTAATACACATGCAATACAAATATTTTTCAATTCATAGGATTTATTTCAAAATCATTATGAAATTAACTCTTAACTTAAAGCTCTACAAATATACTGAAATACCGAAAATATTTTATTTTTTGAACAGAAATTCCAATATTAAGATAACTAAATTTATCTATTAGCCTTTCTTACATAGAGAAAACAACAGGAACATTACAAATTAAAAATATTATTTGATATTATAAACTGTAGGCCTATCTGCTAAAAAAACTAAAGAGTTCTTGAATAATTATATTAATAAGATATTGTTAAAGATTATAAACTTTATATTTTGGTTTACCATTTTATAACACATTTCAAAAAATAAATCTGACTCAAATATAATTTAAATATATTATATTATGTGTAAATAAAATATATGATAAACAATAACAAATATTTAAAACCTAATTATCTATGTACCTAGTATTGCCTCTAAAACACATTGAGGGTTTGGTTTCGTTGCTATTCGGTAAACATTAAAATTTTGTTCCTTGATAGCTGTCTCTGTTACAGGTCCTATTGCAATGAACTAAAAACATATATTTTATATTATATAATAAAATTCTCTGTCTGACTTAGTAAATATTTATTTACTTTTACTTCATTTAAATCTTCTGGAAGTCTTTTGATGTGACCTATTGTGCTAGTAAAACCACTGGGACTAAAAAATACTACAAATTCTGATATATTAGTCAAATTATCGGTTACTACATTAAGATCTGCCTCAATTTTTGGATTTGGTATTGTATCATAGACCTCAACACTGTCAAGACTTAAACCTTCCTTTTCTAGTTCTAAACTCAAAGTATCTGTTTTTAAATTGCCATGGGGAAATAAAAAAGGCTTGGTATATTGTGTTTTATCTAAAATATAACGTTCACAGTGATGTTCATTAAAACAAGAATACCTAAATCTTGCTTTGGAGTATGACTTTTGATAAACATAAGGCATTTCCGGATTCCTTCCCATCGCAAACCAAATTAAGTTTTTTCAAAGCAGTGGCACAGGTCTCTTCCCCTACAGAAAAATTAGTTTTATCTCTCCATTTTTCGAAAAGGCTATTCTCTGAAGCTAAGTGCACCGCTTGTACGCATCTAGGGCTCGAAAATATAATCCCACTGTAATTTATGCAGTTTTCTAATTTCACTTTCAAGGAATTCAAATTTTTAAAATTAAATACCAAAGTCTTTACTTGTTTCACGTCCAGTTTGTTTGATTTAAGAATTTGTTCGTATTTATCGATGTCATCGTTGGAATTTTGGGATTTTAGCAATAATACGCTATTTTTTATTATCATTTTTCAAATGTTTAAAAAAATAAAAACGTAGGTTACCTTGACATTCCTTCCTCTTCATCAAAAATTATATGAAAATTATAAGTGGCGTTTGTAGCTATCATATACGTATACCTATATGATATATATATGATATGATGGCTATGGTTAAGACCACGGAGAAATAAAAGAAGAGAGGCGTTAGAGGTTAGAGCTATGGCGAAAAGCAAATACGTTCAATGTAAATTTAAATGTATTTGGCGAAAAGAGAGTACGTTTGTGTCATTTGCGGTGTGTTATTGTTTTTCATAATTTGAGTGTTTTCTATTAAAAAAACCATTAAAAACCATGGTGTCGTGTGCTGTACGCAGTTTAGGAGCAGGAAAGGTATCGACTCGAAGAAACACACCGGTATCGCATTGTTAGCTTTTATTACTTGAAGTTTTACTTAATCCGGTCCTGTCCAATTAGTACCCTTTGTCCCGCCCGGCCCCCTTGTAAAAAAAATAAAAATTCCAGATTTTTAAGAAACTTAAAATTTTAAAAAGTTTTAACTTTAGACAAGGAATCTAAAGCTTTAACAATTTTTGGTAAAGGTGTGGATCCAGTGGCTGACCTTGAAGCCCATATTTGCTGCATTTGATCATCGATACTACGCAAGCGCACATCGTCGATGTTGCCAAATTGCAGTTTATTTTCGAATTATTTCCAGTTGAAAAATTTCTTTTTGATTGTTAATCAATAATAATACAATTTATCTGGATATCCAAAATTAAGGTATGAAGGATAATGAAGATTGTGAAATGAAAGTATAATGAATATATAAAATTGTACTAATGATAACATTTATTATATATATTTACATTAGAATTAAAAATTATCATTTACGGATTTTTTCTTAATAGTTTTAAACTTACTAGAATTATTTTATTTCTTTCAAGTTATTTAATTTCTAGTTATTTACAGGCAACAATAGTTTTGATTATATGTATTGATGTATTGAAGTACTACCATGACGAGTCTTATAGAGCAATATACACGTCAATGAGATAGAGGTAACATTTTACCTATAATGTTACTAATATAATATACTTTGATTATAATGTTTGAATCATAATTTCTTAAAAATATCAAGTTAGTGGATTAATAGCAATTTTAGACATATATTTTATCGAAGAGTGTGGTGACTAAAATAAGCTGAATAAGCTTATGTTTTATCTTTTTCTCTTTAGAAGGGAGATGGTTTGTGTCGTAGAATACATTACAGTATTTAATATCGTGAACTTTGATATTCTTTTCTTAATTTACTGTAATTTCTTGTTTCCTATAATGCCAAATCTTGACAATATGGTGAAGGTTAAGTTTTGATCTTATTAGTTTTATACCTATGTTTATACAAGACCAAATTAAGACTTAGTTATAGTTTGTGATTTATATTAAGATCTTTCTTATAATATTTGTTATGTCTTAATCTTAATACTATATTATGCTTTTGTCTGGAAAATAAATGTTAAAATATCTTAATTTTGCATATCCTGTTCCATATCCTTCCATTAGGAAAAATATGGTTTATAAATCATATATGCTAAGAAAATCACATAAATTAGGTGTAAGGTAAGAATAGAGAAATCTTAAAGTAGCAGAAAAATTAATGCAATATATGTATAAGCAGAATTAAACAAGGTAACTGTTAATGTTGCTGAAGCTGATTCTACAATTTTAAAATTACGTAGTTTTGATGGAATGTTAACAAAAACCTATTATGAACATGACATAGAGCTACAGCATATAAAAATTAAAAAAAAAAAGAAAAAACTTGGACACGTCCCTTTTAATTTCCCGAATTTTTAATAAAACACTTTTTAAACGAAGCATAATAATCTAGAGCAATTATGAAAATACATAATAAGCGTTCACGTGTTGTGCGAAATATTAAAATAATATAAATAATATACCGCGTACTATGATTGAAAAAAAATAGCGTCAGCGATGACTATGAAATAAAGATCGTTGTCATTTTATATGGGAAATATCCTCAATCGTCATTTCCCAGCCAACTGGACGCCGTTTTTTCGATCATACGGTATATGTTGACAAAAAAACACTGAAAAGCACATATTTGTTTTCTACTGAAAGTAATTCCAAAATAACTTGCAATCTGGCAACATCGAAGATGTGCACATGCGTAGTGTCTGTGACTATATGCAGCAAAAACTCGTTTCAAGGTCAGCCACCGGATCCACACCATTACCCAATTTTTATTTGAATATTGGACATTTTAACACACAGACAGAATATTGGACACTAATAATAGAGATTCATAAAAAATATTTGAATGCATGAAAACGTTTCAAAATTCTCAACTATTTAATCTTACTCAATTCAATAATGCCAAATGTCTTGGTCAAATTATAACATATATTTGTAAGATTTATTAGATATACATACTCTAATGCTTTGTCTTCAGATGGTTAAATGAAAATGGAAATACCATAGTTTTAATTATAATTAAGTAGGTATATATTATATACCTACTTAATTATAATTGTTTATATGTTTTAATTATAATTAAGTAAGTATAAATTATATTCTTATGACATTATTATGTACATAAATTACAGAAATTTTAAGGCATTAATTTTGTGTACTCAACAAAAAAGGGACTTTTCTTAACCGTCTCCCATGCTTTATTGCAATAAAGCAACCAAGTCTTCTCAGTCAATTGTATATGTGTCAGGGAAGTTTTTATAGCCCCAAACAAATTTGCTCTTAATCTTTCTATTAGATTTTCTAATGATGGGTGGCCAGAGTAAATACCATCTAAAACATCGTTACTATCTAAACAAAACATTTTATTTTATTTTGCATAAAACTTACCACTGCTTTCATTATACTCTGGTATTAAGAACAAATTAACTTGTTTTCCACAGTTTTCTGGATCTAAAGTATTCATTATACTTCCCGAGGCTAATCCTAAGTTAGAGTGGAATTGTAGTTTTGTTTTCTTAAATAATATTTCATAAGTCTAAAAATATATTTTAATTCTATATTTATTTATATATACTATTTATATTACTTTTTGCATTGCTTTAAACTGTTTTGGTGTAAAATCAGACATTTGTGCTCTATTATGGACCATGATCAAATGTGGAAAATGTTCGCTATATTCATCCTCAGTATTTGAAATTGTGGGCTTCAGCATTTCTGCTGTTTGTATAAATCTTCAAACAATGTATTTGATTATATGTATATACCTACATGACATTGTTCAAAACATTTTACCTTATAACATTACTATCAAAGAACCAGTCCTGTAGTACTATTATAATATGACAAACAGACATTAAAAAAGATGTGTATTGTAACCCTTGTATTTCCCCGCTGTTTTCTAGGGGAATAAACTCACTGACCAGGTTTGTTCTTTTATTCTCACTCTCTATCAGATCATCTAATGTTCCGACTGACAGAATAGGTTGGCAGTCCAAAAAGATTACCCTGTTGGGTGATACATAAATGTCAATTCCTTGTGTCACATTTGTACAATTCTCAACGTTTTCAATGGTTTCAGTTTTAAATATTGGATCGTCATTTAAATTAGTATCTTCTAAACATTGTGTCAAGATAGATATATCGTTTTCAGAGTCCAATGATGCTTCCGATTGTGATTTAAATAATTTTTTTATATATTTTTTTGTTAGCTAAATAAAAATATATATTTATGTATATATACAGGTACAATAACAGTTGAAATATTCTTACTTTCTTTTCTGTTAGCATATTTAAAAGGGTTGATTTACCCACACCTTGTCCACCTATAATGCCAACAACAATAAAGTCATTATTCTCCTGAAGGTAATCTTGTAAATGCTCAGTATTAATTATACCATCATCTATGAACTTCATTGATTTTTTCATGTCTTTTAAAACTGTTGTTCCTAAGATATTTTATAATTTAACTAACAGATATACTACATTACAGAAGAAAAAGACTAAAGATGCACAGAATATTTATACCCTCATTTTCTTTCAAAGGTACACCCAAACTAGCTTCACTTTCCTTTGGCTTTTTTCTAATATTAACTGTATTTTCATCACTAACTGTTTCTCTGTTCTTTAGTAATATTGTAGGTTGTTTTATCTCTCCTGAACTGGAATCTTTGTTTTCTTTCGATGGTGTGCTAGCAGGCCTGTTTGGAAAACTTTTACTACTTGCTGAACTTTCCTAAAAGTTTAGAATATAAAATTTAATTATTATTTAGTTCCAACAACATACCCGAGCAAATGGTCGAGATTTATTTGAAATAATTTTTTTCCTTTCAAAGTCACCCATTTTGAACTTGTAACCAATTATAACTCTTGATTATAAGCCTTGATTATAAATAAATTGTAACTAACTAGCTTGTAGTTTGTTTTTGGTTTGTTTCAGGAGTATTATTCATATAGTTATTATGGTTTGATAATATAGTTTCAAGTTTGTTTATGATAAAATATGAATAGGAATAGTAATTTAGTTTCTGGCCTAAGCTACTAGGACTATCCTGCTTGGTAGTAGAAATATTCTACCCTTGGTTGAGTGCTTTCAACTGGTTTTGAAGAAGTCAATCGGAGTTAGCCCTCAGCAAGTGGGGAAGTCCTAGGCAAAGATATTTGGTTCCAGGTACGTCGTCAATATTGAAGTTATTGATCTAAATTTGATATTAATATGTTCTACAATTACTGTTATAACGTTTTAAGTGCGGATAATAGGTTAAATATTTGAGATCGTGTCACAATTATTGATAATTGGTTGGTTGTCTACAGAGCTTTCTGTCCCAAAGCTGTTTTGTATGGCTCTGATTCCAGCTTCCTTGACGGTGCAATTCAAGCAATTTGCCAGCACTTGATAATTAAAACTTTAAATTATTTATTTGTTTTGTTTTTGTAAGGTTTTTGTTCTACAAATATGAGGTTAGGGTAGAGTTCACCAAGGAGCCAAGGAGGTGAATAAGAGAGGAGAGAGGGGAGGCGAAAACAGGATCAGCCAGGCCAGCCATATTGGAGAGTCTCTTTTTGTCATTTGTGCATTTTTCCCAAAATTTAATGTTTTTCATTGATAATTTGAGTGTTTTTTCTATTACAAAAACATTAAAAACCATGGCGTCGTGTGCTGTACGCAGTTGTAGGAGCAGGAAATGTGTCGACTCGAAGAAACTCACGGGAGAAACATTTTAGAGGTAATGTAAACAATGGACAGGTCCGTAACGCAGCTATTACAAAATTATCGATAAAAAAATAAAAATTAGTTGTCGTGTTACCTGTCCCCTCTCTTTCCTTGTCTAAGCTTTTATTTACTTTTATTCCTTTCCGGTCCGTTCTAATAATTCCGTGACTAACTTCGTGATTTGGGCATTTTTCCCGCGTAATTACGAAAATAGTGAAACATCAATCTGTGATATCAATGCATAGATGGTTTACTATATTCTTAGTAAAAATATTATATATTTAAAAAAAACTCTGTCCATTTTGTGCGTTCTTTCTTATCTAAGCCTGCTCATATCTTATATTTCCTTGAAAAAATTGTGGTCCTCTTATAGCATGAAGTTGCCGACCCTTGGTTTAAGAGAGAGGAATGGTATTTCTACATTTAAATAATTAAAAATATGAGTATTAAGTAAATATTCTATCTATAACTTGTAACAGGTACTTCTAAAGGAAAACAATAATACTTGATACATTTTTATTGTGCACAAGAACAAAAATACTGGCTAGAAAGATATCACATTCAGTTTATTCCATTTAGCACTTCGTCATACTTCCTCCATTTGCAACAGTTCCTCATTATCACTCTCCAATTCCTGACTGGCAGGCTTTTTAGGTGGACTCGAAACAGGGTTCTGAGAGTACAAATATGTGGCGTACATCACCGTTCCGACTGCCAGAATTGTGTTCAAATAAACCGGAATTCCAAAAAATAGAAAAGAGAGTACGGCCGTCAAAACTAGCTCTATGGCACTGGCGAAAGTTTTTAAAATCGAATTCAACGTTTTCAAGAAAAAGCTCGTTACAATTCCGACTGCAGCGTTATTCAACATGACTATTAAAACTTTGAAACTAAAAACTTTAGAGATATTCTCGTATAAAAACACAGTGGTTATAGACCCATCGATAAAAAGTAACGCAACATTACAAATAATAGAATCTAAGTACATAAAGACATTTTGAGTGAAAATATTTACATCGTTCCCTTGATGTTTCAAGAGGTATTCGTTATAGACTCCAGCAAAACAAGAACAAAATATTTGAATTAAAATAAAGAGCGTGTTTATGCTCAGGACTAGAGAATGGGATTTTGTATCGTTTTTCTGCGAGTCCTCGGTTTCTTGGTTGAAATTCACTTGTTTCAACATACAGCCTGCTGTTAAAATTAGCAATGAAATCCATTGTTTTTTGCTTAAAACTTTCCCAAATATAATCTAGAAAAAAAACATAATTTTTAAGTACACTCCTATCATCTTAACTTTTTTAACGCGTGTTTACTTTGAATCTTTCTTTTTATCTGATATATATCAGTTGCAAAACATCAATATTGATGAAATAAATAATTACTTTACCTGAAATAAAATTCCTGTAACAACCACTCGTAATTGCAACAATAAATAATACGTGGTTGGGTCAAAAGATGATAAATTTACAAAAGCTAAGTTATTATACAGGCAATATAGAGAGGCAGGTACAAAATAGAGTAGCAAAACACTTTTTCTTTCAATAACTTCCCTCACTAATTCAGTAGGCTTGTTTCTAGAACAAAAAACTTTTAAAATTTATAATTCAGCTAGTTTAACTCTTCCTCAACATATGTATGGTAACAGTTTGGCTCAAATAATAAATACGTAGACAGTGGACAAACTGTTATATGTAGAGTGCATGATAATCCATATATTAATTTAAATAATTTTAAGTTGAGCCCTATGTTTTAGTTACTATATCATTATTTTTATATAAAAAATGTATCAACTTCGCATGAATGGGTCACATTAAAACATATTAGGAAGAGTTAAATGAGAACTATACAGCAACTTACTCTCGACAATAAAGTAATGAAGAAATAACCAGCTTCAAAACTTCAGTCAACAATACCACCGTTATTATGTTATAATCATATTTATTGTCAGATCCTTGTGAGGCAGTCACCAAAATTCCTATGAATTGGGTCATCATAAATTAAACATTAATATCAACAAATAAACTACTTACCCTGATTAACAAACAGAAGAATATAAACTACGAATATAATTTGACTAAATCTAGAAGGGAATAAATCTTTCCATGGCTTGAAATTCATAACTTTGCAGAGAAAGTTTGCAGAAATATAAGCGAATTTAAATTTGCCACCTACTCGTGAACCGCATACTGACAACCGCTAATGTTAATAGATTCACACTGCTCTTATTTTAAAAGGTGCCATATCAAGCCGATATTTATTTAAACATACTCGCAAACGCTCGCAAATTAACAATCTTTTTGATATCTATTTATTTGTTTTTAAAAAGATTACGACTTATGACATGACAGCTAACCTTAAATTTTTAACTTGTATATGCAACTTTTAATACACATTAGTGTTTACTTAGTTGTAGTAAAATATATGTCGGCAACTAGATATACATCTAGTAGATATATTTGGTTGCATACTTATATTTCTTATTATTGATTTTTTTATTGAATAATAACATGTTCGTGTATTAAATATATTACGAAATGTTTATTATGATATAAAACTTGTTGACTATAAGGAAATATCAGCATAAATTAGCGGATTATATGACACAACAATAAGTTTTTTTTTATTAAGTACCACCTTTGTTAATAAGTTCCTTTTTGGAGCAATTTAACGCGGACTTTGGCACACTATTGAGATGATAAGACCTCGCTAATCTTGGAATGGTACCACAGAACGCTAGCCAGTTGTTTATAAATAATTAAATACAGTAGATTCTGACGGTAACTTGATTTTTGTGGTTCGGCTTTTGCCATCTTCGGTAAACCGCTAGTAGATCAGTCGCTCAGTCGGTTCTTGGTGGTACGACTTCATTATGTGGTCGAACATAACGAAAAGAATTATATTTATTGGCCGATTTAAATCTATTAAAGGGTTTTCTAGTCGAAATTTAAGTTTAAGTTTGTGTAGATACGACATTATTTCAAATGGGATATTAAAAAATTCACAAACTGTAGAAATACCGAGGCTAAGTATACCAGAATTTGTGTTTTCTAGGAGTGAGCAATTTTCGGATTTGGTTGAATATGTAAGTCGATAAAAAATATCCCACTCTGCCAAAAAAAAACACCCTGTTTATAGTTTATAAACACTGTATTTTGCAAATGCCTAAATATTCCATATATCTTTTATATTGTATATTTTTTGTTTATTGACTGCTTACTTTTCTTGATTTTTTAATAATTAGAGAAGGTTTCTTTTATTCTTATTTTTAGTTTCTAAAATATTTTTTTTAGTTGTTTAATATTTATTGAATTATAAATTATAAATTTCTAATGAATATGTATAGATATAGCTTTTTTTGTACACTCAACACAGGACTATAAATATATAAACATATTTTAATCCAGTTTAATTTAACAATAAAAGAGTGTGTCTTTAACCATTTTTATCTTTGTATTATATTTATCATAATACTTTTAAATTTTCTATTGCATCACCAGTGTAATAAAAGACAATTACATCTCTATATATTATTATAAACTATTTTTCATAGACCTATAAATAGAAGTCATATAGAAATAATTAAAGGCAATTCTTATAATATTTGCATGTTAACACTGAAAAATAGGGAATATATCAACCACGAAAATACCATTTTTGTAGTTTAATATTCTACTGATTCTATTTCTTTTTGATATTTCAACTACAGTGCCGTTGGCTGTGTTAAAGTTAAAACCACTAATTTTTAGCCTTGGAAAAATTGACATTTGAGAATCTAACTATTTTTTTATTTGTTTTTAATTTTTACCTATGTTTATTTATGTTATGTTCATTAAAATAAAATGAGCGATAACCATTCATTAATGATTAATAACGATATATTGATAAGCGATAACCATAATTAATATTAAAAAACCTTCTTTTATTTTTCGTTTAAAGGCTATCGTTTCTTTCGTAATAATTTTTACGTTACTAAAATCTACTTTGTGCCCTGTGTCCCATGAATGCTGACAAATCTTAGATTTGCGAAAATCGCTCTTAAATCATTTTTATATTCTTTAATTTGAACATTTAAGGGTCTAGGACTTTTTTGAAGAGATAATTAGTTATGCAGACGATATACAGGGTGAGTCTTAAATAAGTGCGGATATTTATAAGGGTAGCATATTCTACACTAGAAACACGATTATAAGTTTTTTTTTCGCATTTTTTTTTAGCCGAACCTACCAACAGGTATGGTAGGCTATTAAGATCGGCAAAAAAAAGTTTTTTTTTTAATTTCACTCAAAATGAGTTATTTGGGTCATAAATGACCTAAATACAAAATATTTTCATGGTGTCTGTCTGTCCGTCTGTAACACGATAACTCAGAAACCACTAAACCGATTTTAACCAAATTTACACAAAAATACTGTGGCACCCGAGAGTCTGGCCATTAGTTTTTGGTGGGGGTAGGGGGGGGGTAGTTGGTAAGAGGGTATGGGAGGGGGTTAAAAATTTAAAAAAATCGTAACTCCAAAATTACAGTAGCTAGCGAAAAGCGGTTTTCAATTTAAGATTGGGAATAATATTTGCAACAAAATTTGTAATAATTTCAAAATCAGTCAAAGTCAGTTTTTGAGATAAAAAAAATGAAATATTGTTTAAAAAATTATAACTCAGAAACAAAACAGCTAGCAAAACGCGGTTTTCACTTTTATGTACGGAAATATGTTTTAAACAAAACTTTGGCGCCGGGAAAAAAAACAAGAAAAAAGAAATCCGTGTGGAAAGCTCCAAATTCCCAACGGACGCGACTCCAGGTGGCGGATAGGGGAAATAACCGTGGACCAAATTTGGAAAAATTCCTTTACTTACTTCGAAACTAAAAGAACTGCCTACCAACTTTTTATTAACATATTTTAGTATGGGTGGCTATACGTGCCTCCCGGCGGCAATTTTTTTTAATTTGGATTTTTATAGTTTTTTGTTAAAAAAACATAATTTTTTGATATTGTGGCAACATAGGTAGTAGATTAAATTTACAAGAAGAAAATCCAGAAAAGATCCAGTGGTTTTCAAAATTTAATCAAAAAATCATTTTTTTTGAAAATTTTCAAAGTAAAATAACTCGGTTATTTTGGACTTATTTGAAAAACGGTAAAGAGAAAATATGTTTCTTTTATCGAGATCTACCAGCCCTGAACATATTTGCACTTATTTAAGGCTCACCCTGTATATCGATATGTCTGAAGTCACTAGGTGTATTTAAAAAAAAATAAAAAATAAAAATTTATTTAAGTTTAGCTAAAAATTGACAATTATTATCTTTTATAACTTTGAACCCCTTGATCTTTATACTATTAAGCTTTATTGTGTATAGGTCTAATTGAATCTTATGAATAAATTAATTGACGACTACAAAATTATATATCTATTACTTGTTTTTAATGTACTGTCATTGTATTTTTGTAGAGATCTTTACAATACAAAGTCCATCAGGTTTCGAAAACATATGCCTCTCACCTCACCACACTAGAATTAAAGGAAATCATATATAATTTTATCTAAAGTCGTTTTTTAAATCTACCTATGGAATTTGCACTGAACTGAAAACAATGATAAGATTGAATCTAGATAAAACAAACTAAAAAGTCATTTAGAAAAATATTTTATAGCAACACAATGATCAGTATTATACAGCGTGAGTCTTGAATGAGTGCAAATATTTTCAGGGGTAGTATATTTCGATCACAGGAACACGTCTATGAGTTTTTTTTCGCAAAAAGAGATGTTGAAAATCGTGCATTTTCTTTTAAATTTCCCTGTACAGTACGTCTGCTGGATCTGTGTCTATGAAAGGAATGCGGACAAAAAATATTTAAATAAACAGCAATTTATTTTATTCGTCGACTTAACGAGTACGTCACCGCAAATCGCTCCGCCCACCCATTTTATTGGCTACTTGCAAATTTGTTGAATTTTTATTGATGGGACGCGTCGTCTATTTTTTTACGAAAAACATCGAGAGAATATCGTTTCCCCTCTCACGGATACCCCGTAGCTACCGAACGAACAGACGTACCTACTGTATATCTTTTGAAAAGTTTTTAGAACTGCTTGTACACCGCAAATTTTCCCATGGTCTAATTTCTTAATCTCTGATATTACCATGGTTACGGCACTAAAAGGGATGCAACATTGCCACTTCCTAAATAAATGACCTATATACCGGGTGCGTCTCAAAACTGGCTCACCCCAATAACTTTTTTTATTTTTTTAGTTAAAAAAACGAGATTTGGTTTGTTAGTATATGACATAAATTAGGATTGATTGACGTATTCAATTGTTTTTGGTCACTTCCTGTTTCACCGGAAATGACTACAACTTTTGATTTTTAAAAGGCACCCTCGGGATTTTTTTTCTTTATTCGATAGAAAATGTCACTCTGAATAGAATGACATATCATATGTCAACTTTTGACATTTTCACATATGGTTTATTTGAAATTACAACTTGCGGTTCGTAACGAAAATTTGACTTGAAATACCAAACGTGTGGTATCAAATTATTCGTAAAAAAATGCTTTTTCTAAATATGCTAATGAGCCACCCTCGTTCCGTTTGAAAAAATTGAGATATGATTAAAAATACGATTTGAGCATTTTCTAACTGGCCAGAACTAAGCACTAAAAACATATTAGACCATCAAATCTATTTGTCCAATTCTCCTTGATGAAGAATTAGTGTTTTTAATATAGCCATGGCACTCTAGATTGAATTTTGAAATACAATTTTTTATTAAGCGAGAATGTCAAAAGTTGACACATGATATGACATTTTATTCAGAATGTCATTTTCTATCGAATAAAGTAAAAAAATACCGAGGGTGCCATTTAAAAATCAAAAGTTGTCTTCAAAAGGATTGTTAGTGTATTCAATTGTTTTTGTCATAGGTTGTTCACTTCCTATTTCACCGGAAATGACAACAACTTTTGATTTTTAAATGGCACCCTCGGTATTTTTTTAAAAAGAACGAGAACAAAGAAGAAGAAGTTAAAGAACATAAAAATTATTTAAGAAAGAGCGATTTTCGCAAATCTAAGATTTGTCAGCATTCATGGGACACAGGGCACAAAGTAGATTTTAGTAACGTAAAAATTATTATATATATAGCAATCTTCATTTCATGCCACCGCTGACGCCGTTTTTTTTTCGATTATATGGTAGTTAATCAGTACAATAATTAATTTTATTACGTTACTACGTTCACTAAGATCTAAAATAGTAATTTTAGTGTAACAAAAATGTTGATTGCTACAGTTATTACGGTTGGATGCTATCTACTTACCAACACCATATAAATATGACACGTTCTATGGTTGCAGGTTGCATCTCTATAATATGTTCTATCTTCTATCTATGTTTACTTACTATGTATTCGAAAACTTAATTTGAGTAATATATGGTAGTATAATATTATTAATATTAATATCGCAATATGAATGAGAATAGTGCTTTCTTTTAATCACAATCCTTATAAATTGAACTTGAAAGTATGTGTTTCCCAGAAAAGTAGGTGGTTCCCAGACTATACAAATAGGGAATTCCCAGAAGTTCATGCTTTTAAACCTACACTTTTTTTACTACTTTACTGCTATACGAATTTTATTTAAATTTAAATGATTACATTACACTTTTAAACATTTTGTTTACAGTTTCATCCAAACTCAACTCGCCAGATTAGACTTTAAATTATTTATATTTTGTGGATGCACCCTCAATAGAATGACATCATAATATGTCAATTTTTGACATTTTCGCATATGGTTATACATATACTGAAGTACCTAAAGTTTTTTTTCATTTTAATCGATCATCGTGTCGAAAAATTGTACGAGTACCCAAAAATTTATTTCGGTACTATGATTTCGTTGTAGTAGTACCTAAAGTTTTTTTTCGTCTAAATTGATCGTCGTTTCAAAGAATTGTACGAGTATCTAAAAATGTATTTCGTGCTATGATTATGTTATAGAAGTACCTAAAGATTTTTTTCATCTAAATCAATCGACGCGCGACGGGTCAAAGAATTGTACGAGTACCTAAA